TTGCGATGTTTTTCCTTATAGCTACAGAATTTATCTATGTAATTTCTACATAATTAAATTTATGAAATCTTTTTTCATACAAAGAATATATTTCTATTTTACAATTGTATAAGCTTTCATGTAATTGTGGTATTTCAGACTTTAAACCGTTCGATTTGGAATCTTGGTGGGGCAAGCGATTATTTAACAACATTACAAAATCGCTCTGAGACAAAAAAAAGTTGATACAAGTTACGAAGATTTTTGAAGTAGTACAGAATGGTGAACAGTGTTGAGAAGATTAGTCTATTTCAAATTGTAAATGCAAGTTAAGAATAACTGAATTATTTCATAGTGTTGAACTGGAAGTGTAAAGATGAACCCTGGTTAGCAAGCTACCATGGAATTTCAATCGGTGAATCTACAGTCTCATATAAATACATAAATGATTTTATACATTTTTCTATTACATTATAAACGAAATTGTTTTTGTACAAGTTTAGCATCAAACTCAATCATTGGAAATTTTTTATAAATGCATATATATACGTATCAGACATTCTCATTTCAAATAATTTACATTGATCAAATAAGTATTTTCATTACAAAATACATTGCAAAATACACAATGCAACAACGCATAAAAGTTAAGGAATTTTATTTCTTAAATGTTGCTTTATATTTTTAAGGCTGTTCCGATTTTAGAAAGTGTAAAAGTGTACAGAACTTCCTTTAAGTATAAAAATAATATGAAATTCAAATTAAAGAAATTTAACGGAACACAATATGAGACCGACAATTTCGTTATTAAAAACATTTATAGGTTTTTAAAATAATGAAGGTGAAGATATATCTCCTGAAAGCATACCAAATAGGGTTAAGTACAGACAGTAATCCCTGACGGTATGAATGCAGTGTGGAAAAAATGGATTTTTAATCATAGAATGATGTACATATTACATACATTGTTTGTGTGAATGCATAACACATTGCTGATATTGTTATGACAATTGTATCTAAATACTTTTACATAAGCAGTTGTTTAGTATAACTTTGTAGACTGATAATGTTTAAGATTGTCAAACAATTGCCAGACAAAGTAAAACTTGTCCCTAATGTATTTGCAAACTCTACTTTCAAAATTTTCATTTCACACTGACTCAAATTAATCACCTCTAGGTTTAGTGATCTTTTTTTAGTTTTGATTTCCACTGCACAGATTAATTATATAAGGCCATAGTATGAAATATAATATAATTTTGAAAAGCAGAGTTTGTGAAAGTAGTCAAAATGTAGTGCAATATTTGGCCATTTAAGGCTGAATCACGCAGTTATAAATAAATACAAATTTATATATTAAAAACTTTTTTTAACCATTTTAATTTCTACACCATTATTAATTTAAAAAATTATTTCATAAGAGAGATAACTTTAATAATTTAATCATATGCTTCGCACAATTATAATAACAATCTCAATAGTAAATAAAAATGTTAAAGTGTAGCAAAATGACAGTCTA